GCTTTACTAAGGGAATTAATTATCCTGAAGAACAGGAACATACAGTAAGTACATCTGAGATACAGGATGAGACACAGTATGTCATCTATTAGGCCTGGCTAAGACCAGCAGCTGATGCTAAATGGGAAGGAACATGCACCAAATGTTTTTTAATCACAAAGTTAGTAATTAATTGCTCTTTAAAATACATTTTATGCTTCTTTCTGTCTGTGTACATGAAATGCACATTTATTACATGCCAAAAATTACAACATTATGGTTTAAATGTGACTGGCACGGAAGTCCGGAAATCAGAGTTAATGTTCCCACAGCAACTTTAATTCTGTCCGTGTGCACATGCAGAGCTATAACAATCTTCCATTTTAGGATAATACATATAGATGGTTTGGGTGGGGGGAAGCTAAAGACCAATATCCTCAACTGTAGTTACCGGCAAAAAACAAAGGCTAAAAAGCTGTGCTTTTTTCCATCAACGTGGCTAAAAAACAATGTCCTCATGCCCGGTGATGTGTAATCAGGGAATGAAAGACTCTGCTGTGATGCCTGCACTCAAGGGGACAGTTTCTGTTGCTGTGGGAACCTGAACTTTGCATTTCCTGACTTTGGGGTAATTAAAATGTCAGCCTTAATGTGGCATTAATGGAGTTTGCCATAAAAAATCCTCTTTGTTTTGTTCTCTAAAAAATTGCTCAAAAGTTCAAACGGAACCAAGTGTACTAAAATTTTTAATCCCGGGGACATAGATGGGTGAAGCAAAGGACTGGGAGGGGGAGGTGGATGGTGAGAGAGAGAGAGAAGGAAGAGCCCACCAGTCTCCTCGACAGTATTCAGTCCCAGAGGAGTCATGCTACCTACAGAGCTAAAGTTAAACCCACCCACACAACAGTTTGGTAATGTGTAAAGGTTAAATTAAAAATAAATAAAAACTGTTAATGCGTAAGTGCATCTTGGCAAGGGCACAAAAAATGAGACAGTCTGATGGGGCCATTGTAAAACACGGAAAGGTAAGTAACCACGGAGGGTGGCTTCCAACAAAAGGGAGACATCGGAACAGGCTGCTCAACAGGCAAAAGGAGAAAGCACTGACAACCGAGAGAATCACTTCTCCCTGCCAGGGGAGCCTTTCTTGGGGGGGAAAGAAAATGGAAGGAACATGGAAGTAAAAGTTCTGGTCGCATATGGACAGACACATACAGATGTGTGTATGAGTATGATGTACTGCAGACTGGCTCAGCTCATCCTCAGCCTGTTCTGTGGGTAACTGTTCTTGTCAAACTCCTAGGGGTTTGTTTTTTTGCCCTCTGCATTCCAAAACTCATCTAACACCTTCCATCATCACGATCATCATCATCATCATAATCTGAGTTTGTTTACCATTAGCGTTTTAGAAATGGTGAAGAAGTGACAAACTCGGAGGGAAGGGGGGAGTTTGTGAAAAGGAAATTGCCAGTTCACCGCAGAGCAACACACATTTCAGTAGCAATGTTAACCTTTGACCTCATCACCTCACAAAGGAAAGCATTTCCCAACCATATTCTTTCTTGTGTTCAGTATTACTGGGATCTTTTGCTAAACTTGAAGTAGCTCAGCACGTTACATAGCCTACTGGGAACCTAAAGGGTCAAGACTTGTCCTCTTTACTCTAAAATATGGGCCGTCCTCCCCGGTGGCACAGCGGTTGAGTGCTGGGCTGTGAAGCTGCCCGCAGCCTCAGTGGCGCTGGTTCAATCCCCAGCTGCTCCCGGGCCACCGGAGGAGGGTCCCACATGGCGCGCAGACCTCTCCTGCCGCCCGCTGCTCCCCTCAGCAGTGGACTTCGGTCCTTCTGCCTGCTCTGCTCCCCGCTCTGGCTCTGGTGAATTCGCTCACCCTCCCGCGCTTCTGCCTGTACCCAGTGCTTGTATAAATAAATCAATCTTTAAAAAAAAAAAAAAAAAATTAAAAAAAAAAAATATGGGCCTTGTCCTTTAAACAACTCTGTGGTGCACCCACCCTTACCGGTTCATATGCAAAGCTGTCTTTTCTTTCGTGGGGATGCTTATCCATTCTGCCTTATAACCCAGTCACCGATATGAGTAGTTGTATGTTTTTGAGAGGCCTATTTAGAGCCAGGAATGCCATCTCTGGAATTGGAACAGGGAATTCAGGCTGCTCACAGTGAGAGAAAATCCATAAACATCTCTCATTTTCCAAATGAGTTAACTACCCAGCAAGTAGGTGTCAATTTTCTCAGTTTTCTCATCTGTAAATTGGGAAGAATTATAATGACTGACAGGATATGGGCATTAAGGCATGACTAAGAATAATTTTGCTAAACACATGACAAATAAAAAGGTGCTATAAAAATTCAGGCACTTGTGAAAGCTTGGAACACCACACACTGGTGGAATGTTTCTGAAGTTAAAGAGACTAACAAGTCAAGGGCACTATTTTTAAATGTCCCAAATCTGTTAGTTCTAAATAGGAGCTGAATCTTTTACCTTAAAGAAATTAGGCTTTTAAATTAATCTATGGTAGGAATGACATTTGAAAGTACAAAAAAAAAAAAAAAAAATTCCTCCTGAATGCAAGAAGAGCATCCAAAAATTTTAACAGCTTAAAATAAACCTCTTTCCTCTCTTCTCTCAAGCAATCTCCAAATGGACAGATTTCTGTGAATCTTTCCTAAAAACAATTTTCTCTTAAGTGTAAGCTCAAATCAGGACAAACTACAATCCAAATATATTTAGAGAAAAGTATAATCAATTGAAACAACGGGTTGGAGAAAAGAAGACTTAACACATCTTAATGGCAAAATCAAAATGACTTTGTAAATAGCTGGAGATTAGGTTTCTCTTTCCTCTTTGCTTTCCTTCCAGTTGTATTCAGACACCTTTCTGAGCTTGAATCCACTGGCTTTCCTTGGGGGTCACTGAGATGGTGCCTCGCTTATACTGCTCTTTATACATATACCATGCAAATGCCTGGACCTGGCCTGAGGACACTTATGGTTAAAGCACAATAAATGAAGCCCAGGGTTTTCTCTATTCAGCAAAACATTCATTTTGTTGTAACAGGGGATTTCTGGGCTAAGGCCATACTACAATATGTAATCTTCCCCATAAGGTGTGGCAGAAAGCCAGGCGAGGAAGGTCTGCGTGCAAGAGCTCCAGGCCCTTCTCCACAGGAACGGGCTACCTTCCTGGTAGGTATGGACAGTGTGCACATGGCTATGGGCACCATGCCAGGCTATTTTCCAATTCTTCCTGTAATTACTATTAAGCTGGAGACGACTAGGCAAGAAGGTCTGAGGATGTTACTGTTACAACAGCCCACAGGGGCCTCCCCGGTGGCACAGCGGTTGAGCGCTGGGTTGCGAAGCTGCCCGCAGCCTCTGCGGCACCGGTTCGATCCCCGGCTGCTCCCCGGCCACCGGAGGAGGGTCCCACATGGCGTGCAGACCTCTCCTGCCGCCCGCTGCTCCCCTCAGCAGTGGACTTCGGTCCTTCTGCCTGCTCTGCTCCCCGCTCTGGCTCTGGTGAATTCTCTCACCCTCCCGCGCCTCTGACTGTAACCAGTGCATGTACAAACAAAACAAACAAACAAACCAGCAAACAAATAAATAAAGTATGCCTCTATTAAAAAAAAAACAAAAAAACAAAACAAAACAACAAAGCCCACAGAACATAGGCCCTGCTCTGACCCCTTCCAAGGTTTCTCTATAGAAACAGCAACTTTGTACACATTGCACAGGCTGTAGAGATTCAGATCTTGCTTTTCTCTTTTTATTTTCCAGGGACAAGTAGAACTGGTCTCAGCCCAGCCACAAACAGAACAAGCTCTCTTCTCCCCATCTTCAACTTATAGTTCTTGTCCCCTTATCTAGAGACTATTATGATGAAGGAAGGAGGGAATGGAATCTCCCAGATTAATTCACCCCTTGCCCGCTTTGCAAAGTTTTACATTTGTTTTGTCAGGATGATAGGGAATTTAGAACCTCATTTACTAACTAATAATTTTTGTCTTTCAGATAGGATAAACGGAGTCTATTTGATTTTTTAAAATAAACTTTTCTTGGTCTTATCTTATTCTAGGGGAGCTACATAAATTGCAGACATCTGATATTGGGAATCTCAAGACTAAAAGGAATATTCTTCTGGATAGAACCCCTAAATCTGTTCCATTTCTCTTCAGTGTCAACTTAAATGTTTCTTTCTCTCTGAAGTATATGGTTACATATCAGAAAGAGAAGAAAATCTCCTAAACGTGATTTATCAACTTTCTTAAAATAGAATTTGAAGAAGTGACTCCCAGATTAGTGAGAAGAAAGCAAAAATAAACAGCAATGGAGTGATTTCAATAGCGACAATCTCATTAAGCTGCCCATTTCCAAATTTAGCCCGTAGGCAGTTTTTTTAATTAAAAAATATTTTTAACCTGAATTCTGATTGGCTACGTGAAGTCTGGGTGGCTTCTGAATTCTTGGAAGTCATTCTCTTTTCTTCTGTAAATTTATGCTATCCTTTAACCACTTCAAAATAAATTAAAAACTGGAAAGACAGAAATTCAGCCAAGCTACATGAGACTCCAATAACTAATGCAAAGCTGACTTGTGTTATGTAATTTCAAAATGGATGTTTCCTTGTGTCTGACTGGCCTTTTGAGGTCCATATTTGGTTGTTCAGTTTAGTCATGGTGGAAATGTTGTGATTCAGAATACCAAGACAAAAGAATAATTAGAAAACACCAACACAACTTCTTCAGAGTTAATGCTATGAAAGAGAATGTGGTTCATGTAATTAATCAGTCTTTTGAGGACACACGGCCAGTCACCTGGTTTTAAAATATAATCTAGCTTTGAAATAGAGATGTTGGCTGAGTCAAAATGGTGGCAAGTTACTTTTGGCTACTTCAGAAGACCAAATGGAAACAGCTTGCTCTGAATGCAAAAAAGCCAGAACCCGGGGGGGAAGCGAGCTCCAAGCACCGCGACGACACTGTCACCTCACTGGTGTACTCACAATCAGATGACCCGGTGTGAGCGTGAGAGTTTGTCAGTGAATGTGTTGAGTGGATGAGGGCTGGGTCTGGAGACAAAACAGCTTCAAAGTTCAGGCAGGGAAGGCCCGGCTTGGCGCTGGATCCACCCGGCTGAGTAATCTCATTCTCCTCAGATGCCTTCTGGTTTTCAGCTGTCTTGGGTTTCTTCCTGAAAATAAACAAAGGGCCCTTTGAAGGAACTGACTGCATATTTGGGAAAAGGCATTTTTAGAATCTGTTAAAGATAACTTGATTTTTTTTTTCTGAAGGGGGATGGGAGGGAGTCCAGTATGTCCCTTGTTTTAAAACAAGCTGATTCTTGTTTTTTTTCCCTCCAGTAATGGCCTAACTGGGAACACATGAAAACATATGGGCCAAGCAAACAGCACCACATTTGGACTCTGTTGGCTGCATAAAAAGACCCTGTCCCAGAACTTTAGACAGCTTGAGCTACGTATGGCTGACATTATCCAAGAAAGCATCCTTTTCTTCCCCCCTTAAGAGTTTTAACATGGTCTGGAAAAATACTAGTGGAGGTTTACCGTTCTAGCATTTGTCAGGAAGCTTAGAGACAGGACCCGTGGAGTAATGGGAGGAGCACTGGACTGGGAGTCAGGAGACTTGAGCTATGGTACTAGCTGTGCCTCTAACTTGCTGTGTGGCCTTGGGCACCTCACTTCACCTCTCTGGGCTTCAGTTTCCTCATCTGTAAAATAAAGGGCTTAAATTAGAAGGCCCTAAAGGTTCCTTCCAGCTTTAAGTTTCTATTCATGGAACACATCATGGAACATACAACTTCCTTGCTGTTATTAGATTTTATTTTAGATCGACACACAATTTCAAATCACAATTTAAATTTGCAGGATGTACAGATGAGAGAGGCAGCAACGAGGTGTTTGTTAAGAGAGCAAATGAAATATTGAAATAACTGAGATTCTAGCCAATATAGAGGGAAGGTATCATATAGAGATTATTCCAACTCTTTATTCATCCAAAACTTAGGATTTCCTGGGTTTTTTTTTTTTGGTGTTTTTTTTCAAATGCATGATCCTAGAGTATGGGAGTGTTGACTGAATAAAAGACTCGTGATAGTTAGACAAACAGTTTATTAGATAATGAAAGTGAGGATTTGAACCCAGGAAATAGTTTGACAGATTTATTCTGTGACAACTGCTCCAACAATCACAAGCTTGATTGAGTCAGTTTATATACCTTGTTACAAAGTGGCATACCAGCAGAAGAGTAAAGGAACAAGGAGTCATTGACGTCAAAAGTGTAATTATTCTTGACAGGGGGCTTCTGGTTTTCATCTATAGGTTTAGAACTTTTGATTTCCTAAGTTATCTTGACCTAAAGAAATTTTGATGCTATCTATGCACAGAGGAGGGCAAATGCCAGGGTTTAATCATTTTCCTGACTTCTAAAGAATGCACTGTGGAGACACAAAGGCTAGGTACCCATTGTTTAAATCTTTAGCTGACTCCTTGGTCATTACTCGAGGGGGAAAGGTTGGTTTTTCCGCAGGCACCAAATTCTTACATCACAGAACAAGATAAGACTGCTCTGACTTTATGCCTATGTAGATGGCTTTGTTTTCTTGCCTGGTAGACGAGGGGGGTAAGGTTCCAGAACATTCAAAACATGTTCACAGGAGTGTGATTCTATGTTTGGCATGTGAGGAAGAGATGGGCAAAAATAATTAGAACGTAATTGTTGTTAATTGCTGTTTGGGTTCAGGAATAGGAAGTAAATGAGCTCAGCTGTAGGTCAACTCAGGTCACCTCCCAGGACAATGCAACTGATGTAAATGAATAAATACTTAGCTTATACTGCATGTACCTAAGCCCCAGCCAAACTGGATTATGAGTCATACCCTGAACATTCCCTCTAGGTCTCTTGGCTTTGTGTCTTTTTCTATCGTGGATGATGACCAGAGAAATTACTAATTTTTTCGTAGAAGATCATGTGTGGTACAGGATTTGTTGTAAGTAGAACTATTACCATGTTTTCCTCATCTCTACAAGCATGATAATGGACTTGTTATACAGACGACTATTTTGTACAGAAATTTGTTGTGCTGGGTAGCGGAATTTGCCCTTGCAGAATATGGTGTTTTGATTAGCATGCTTTGTTTCTGGTCCAACAGGTTGTGCAGTCAAATCTATATTTTCAGAGAAAAGAAGCAGAGAAAGCATGGTAGAGATGAAAATATAGAGGAAGCTTTGCGACACTCGAGATCTGTGTCTGCTCTAGCTTAGCTCACATCCCCCAGGTATTGACCAAACTGGACTCCAGAACATTCCCAGAACATTCTTAAACACTCCCAGACCATCCTGGGAAATCTACATCCTTAACTCCACATCTTTGCCCAACTTATTCCCCTTGCTCTGAATATCCGTTCTTAAAATCTAACTCTTGAAATCATGTTTATCCTTTATGTTTATTAAACGTTGTCTCCATAATGTAACAGTTTTGATTATTTTCTATCACATAGTCTTTCTGTGCCTTTTTCTGGAATTCTTCCCAGGACACCTTTTCCTGAAGTCCCCAAATACATTTTACTTACTAAATTTTGTTTCAATAATGATTATTTATGTGCTTCTCTCTTCTATGAGACTATAAACTCTCTGAAGGTAGAGAAATGTCTCAGTTATTTTTGAATTTCCTGTGTTGACCCACATTTTCTTCTTTCTCCCCTCCCACCACTCAGTATTCATGTATTCATTTTACAAATACTTACTCCGTGCATGTGCTATACCAGAATTGGTTAGGGAGTAAGCCTGATTTCTGCCTTCTCAGAGTTTGCTGTCTAGTATATACTGTTAGAGTAGGTTAGACAAAACTGTTATTCAGTATCTGTTTGTTGATGGAATGAAATGGAGCTGTAATTAAAGTATATTTTGAGAGAAGACATGGTCTGAATCCCAATGAAGTTTCCTATTTATGCAGCAGTGAAATCTACCTTGACTAGTTGCTTTTCTTTTGAATTCATCGAGGATATTTGAAGAGGGTAGGACCATTTTGCTCACTAAAGCTAAGTGGGTCCTCATGAGTCATTTACATATCAGGATAAAACACTTATGACAGATACCACTTATCAGAAAAAAAAAATGATTTCTGATGTCCATTCACAAGGCCTAGTTTAAGTTTCAGAAGTAGGCGTCAGGAAGTTAAGGAAGCGTGCTTTCAAACAGGAGCAACCAACCAACATTACTTTTATTTTTAACATTGCAAAATGGTATTGTTCTTTATATAAAGGTCTTTGCTTCCTTCCCTAGAATTGATCCTGTTTCCTACCTGACATCTCCTACCACACCCTCCTGTTTGTTGTCTCAAATATCACCTCTGGAGAACATTCACTGCACAGAGGCATGGGAGCCACCTCTATAAACTCATTCTTTTGCTCCCTCCCTAATTTGCCTAATACCACTTCGCTTGCCCTTCTATCACTGGACCGTTCCCCAACTGCAAAGATAACAGAGAGTCACTCACTGTTCTTGGAGGCAATTCATTTCCCCTCTCTCCCTGTCTAATAGTTCTTTTGGAATCCTTTTTCTGAGCTGAGGAACACTCAAACACAGCAGCAGGCTATGTCTACACACGCATAGGAACCACTGTTTTGACCCAATCTTTCAGTTCATAGTTTATTAAGGAGGAACAAGTCCTTTAGTAAATAATTGAAAATATCTTCTTTGGTTGGGTAAAAAGAGTTATATAAACATGGCACATTAGAGGGCAAGTCTCCCCAACCTCTGTAGCTGTGCACTATCCCCTGGTGCCTTTAGAGGGCAGCAGCGCACCGGCTGAGTCCAAGCAGCTTTGCAGAGAGGCAAACTCCCGATCAGACCAGAACCTTCCTCCTGGTCACCATGCCAAAGGTTGGTTTGCCAAGCCCTGGTCGCTCTGGCTCTTTCTTCTTTTCACTTCTCTCTCTCTCTCTCTCTCCCTCTCTCCGTGTCTCTCTCTCTCTCTCTCTCTCAACCCCCTACCACCTCCTCTTCCCCCCTCTTCCTTTCTCCCTCCCTGCCCCCTCCCTCAATGCTCAATGTTAAAATTATACACTCTGATGAAGTCGCCCCTCAACCGGAAAATGAAAGCTCCAATGAGAAAGTTAGACAGGCCAACAACAACAAAGAAAAGAAACCGGGAGAAAGGGGGCTGGTGAGGGGGAAGGATCTAAGAACAAGAAAAGGGCAGATGTTTCGTAAATATATGCAAAGCAAAACTGGGTGTACCCTGAACACTTCCACAGAGAAACAGACCAATCATTGTGCACTTCCTCCCGCCACACTGGTGGAGCTCTGCATTCAAAAAAAAAAAAAAAAAAAAAAGTGTGGCCACAGGCACCTGCCTTTCAACGGTCAGTTCTGACATTCTGACTGAGTATCTCCCGTTTGTCCAAAGAGAACAAAAACATTTTCACCTCCCCACTACAAACATTTCTGTTATGAGAAAAAGGCTGCTTCGAGAACTGAGAAAGCGTTTTAAGGTGACTAGCGGCTGAGTTAGCCAGCAAGACTTTCTGGTTTTTAACTCTCATTGTGCTGGCAACAAGTTTTAAGCTGAAATAGAACGAGAAAGGCTGTGGATGACGGTGGCTCTTTCCTGACCAGACCATATTGTATGTAGTAAGAAATAGGTATTAAAACATACTGATGAGAGGATAGCTATTAAGCATGTTAAGTGCATGGAAATTAACCAGATCAGTGGCATTTGATGTATATATTTCACACTTCTTTGCACATATTGCACACATAGAGTGATGGGAATGCTTTCTGCGACATATGGAAAATAAATATTTTATCTGTGTGAGCTCTTATCAGTCTCCAGGGTCTGTTGAGAGGAGTGCTTGCTTCTATCTCCTTCTCCCAATTTTCTCTCTTCACTGGGCTTCCACCCTCTCCTGCACATTAACATGCCTTCCACTTATCAGCCTGACTGAATCGGAAAGAATGAGACAGAACCTCTTTTTGATAAATAATTACTTAATCATTGGATCATGATAATTTAGACCAATGATGCTTCCCCCTCAATCTTTTTGGATTGGTGACCTAACCACTTCCTCACTGTCCCCTCTCCCCCCCATACATAGAGAAAGCTAAGTAGAGTGTTTGGGAGGAGGGCAAAGGGCTGGCAACAAACCGCCTCTTTGGGGGTTGGTAGCTAGTAGTAGAACTGAGTCCCACCACCGAGTCACTGCACACCCTGGGCAGATTACCCTGTGCCCCAGCCTCCTTATCTGTAAAATGGAAATAATAATATCCACCCCCTTGGGCTGATGTGAGGATTAAGCGAGATCATTCATGTCAAGTGACTCGTTCAGTGCTACCCATGGTCTGGGAGCTTTTTTCACAGACAGCCTCAGTTCTGTGGTTTTTGTCACTTCAGCCAGAAGGAGACACTTCCTAGATCGCAGTAATTTTTTTGAATATCTACATTTGGGCAGGGGCAAATGGATTGTAATTGTTGCAAAGGCAGAAAGAGAGAGAGGCTAAGCATTCTCTTCTTCCACACTGTGATCTTACCGTGTGACCCTCCCGACACCCTCTTTCTGCTCACGTGTTTGTCGCTATCTCTGCTGCACCAAGAGCTCCTCTTGAAGTGGAGGGTCGAGCAAGCTACACTTGGCCTCTGGAAGCCCATCAAACCTGAGTACGAGGGTCTATTCACTGAAACCAACCTCCAGCCCTCTAGCTTATCATGTCTTCTTACAATTTATCCTTTCACTGCTAGGTCTAATGTTCTCAGATCAACTTAATGATGTTTTCATGATTAAAACATTTTATTCTCTCAATTTTTTTAACCTTCTTGGCAAGGCTGATTTCTAATGTTTTTCAGTGTGTTTTTCCCCTCCCTGTTATCAGTCAAGATCCTGGCATGAAACAGATGGCACACTCAGAGGTTTCAGCTGAAGAGGGTTTAATGAAAGGACTGTATACTGAGGTACAGATGAGGTTAAGGGACCCTCAAAGGATGATGAAGCATCAGGGACTAGTACTGGTGGAAAGCTGTTACTCTTGGCTTTAACTGTGTAACTGAGGAGGCCAGGGAAGGCTTGACGTTCTCTAAATCCAATCAGAATAAGAGTTGGGGGGTCTCCCTGGTGGTCTAGGGTTTAAGTCTCAGTACTATTACCACAACAGTTCGATCCCTGGCCAAGGAGGCTAATCCACCTCGTGTAGCAGACCCTTCCTGCTTCACCAGCTGCTCCCCTTAGCAACAGATCTGCCTGATCTGCTCCCCACTCTTGTCTCTGGTGAATCCTCTCACCCCCTGCACCTCTGGCCTGCACCCTAGTTCTTCTATGCACAAAAAAATAAATAAAATCTTTTAAAAAAATAGGAGTTGGTAAGGGGGACTGGCTTAATAGATACCTTGACCTTGCTTTTCACCCACTCTTCCACGTGATACTGATGTCTGCTTTTGGCTATATTCAAAAGGAAGCCAGAGGAGAAGGGAGTCTGGGTTATATGGTCCAGTAGTGTCAGTCTTAGGGTCACAGAGGGCACAAGATTCTGGGGTTTTGCTGGGGGTGAGAGGCTAATCAGCATACCTATTCTCTTTCTACATTTCCTTCACACCTTTTCTCTCAATGTTACTTTCTGGAATGCAAGACACAGCAAAATAAAATGAAATCAGTTCTCCCTTAGTGTCCATGTGTCAATTTTGTGTGTTTGCCATTTATGTGGGAAGAAAACAGAATTTAAGCTCCATGAAAGTGGGGATTTTTGTTTTGTTTGCTGCCATATTCCTACCTGGACAACAGTGGCCAGCACAAGTAGTACCCTGTAAATTTTATTATATTGAGCGAATATACTCACTTCTGCTGTGTCAACAGTTAGACATCATCTCATCTAGCAATGACCACAAGCCAAGGAAGCAGGGAGAACACTGACTGTGGCTGTGTAGGTGGTGTGGGAGTGGGTAGGTTTTACAATCTGACACTATCTCCTCTACATCCATCCCAAACCTTGACACCTGGTTCAGGCAGTGCCCACTCCTGGAAGGGACACATTTTTATAATTAGTCCACATATTTATACTTTATTCATCTCATTGGTTTTTTTAGTAGTAAGCCTCTGTAAGCTCTATTTTTGTTTTTTCTTTATGTATGAGGAAGCTGAGTTTCTGAAAAGGAAAGACTAAAGGATTAGAACCTATCCTGTCCACTCTTGAGGGCCAGTGAGATGTGGGAAGGGCATGGGCACGCTGCACAGGTGAAACACTTCCTATGCTAGAGACAGAAGCTCACTTGTGGGCTTCATGTAGTTTTCAGGAAAACCTCAGTCATGATTTCTGGGTATGGATCTGGGTCTCTGCAGCAGGAAGGTAGGAGTGGGAAAGACTCTTTATCCTGCCAGAGGATACAGAAACTTTGAAACCATCTCCCTCTTTGTACAACGCAGTCATTCTGTGCTGAAGAAAACTCCAGCTGTGGGAACTTCTATGCCATTCTTTGTACTTGAATTTGAGGATGAATGAAGGTGTTTGTACAAGTAAGTTCCTTGCATGGGTATGGGATGAAGAACTCTATTTCTGACCTTGTCTTATCTTTAGTCCCTAATTCCTGGAATGCAACAGTACAGCTCCTCAATACTAGCGCATCCTACGGTCCTGCCCGTCCCCTACATATCAGCAACCATGAAAGACAATTCAGGTGACTGAAAACAGAAAAGATAAAAAGCAAAGCAGAAACACAATACAAAACAAAAACTCTGGTTTCAAGCCTTTGGGTTTGATTTATGTCACAGACATAGAAAATACGAATGTGAAAATTCTACCTGAAGTCGAACAGGGATGTTAGTCTCCCAGGTTTGGAGTTTTCCAGTAACAGAGATGTCTGTGTAACACCATCCCATTACCTGCCTCATGCCCTAATGGAAAACTTGTGAACATATCACCTGGAATGAGGTTTTGTTTTAAAATGTCTAAGTTATTTTGCATGGATAGTTTCCAAATAATTTAAATTTCTGGTTTTTCTAGTAAAAGCAGCATATATACATCTGTTACTTTAAGCAGTGAACACTTGATAACAATCTTTAGTCAGTACTTTTCTGTTGGGTGTCATATCTCCTAGCCATGTATTTTTGCACCTTGCTTGTAATGGCGGCTCTTGCTTGCCATAAATGCGTGACATGGTGTGAAGGACACAGAGTCGGGCACATAGAGGGGCAGAGCTGAGCTGGAAATGATGGCTTAGCGACACGGCTGAAGGAGCCCAGAGCCCCAACGGGAGGGCCTTGGCCCCCTGGCATAGCAAGAAGGCAAAAGCATAGGCCCTGAGATGTAGCTCAGACCACGGACCACAGGTAGTAGCCAGGGGAGAAGAAACTTGCTTATAGAGCTGACTGGGGTGGCACAAAACGGCAAACTGCAGTGAGATTCAACCGAGCAGCAGAAAGCTGATGACAGACAAACAGACCAGGCAAGAGCTGCCACCACTTCAGGTAAAGGCTCAGACGCCCAAGCAGGACGGCACCAGTCCCTGTGGGGTGTGCCCAGATCCAGCTCAGCACGGCCATGGGGAAGACCGTGTGATACGAACAGCCTGTGCTGCAGGCTGGGAGCTGGCAGTCCCAAGGCACCTCGGGATTGAGTCTGGCTACCTTGCTGCATCTGAGAGATGACGTCATCGAATATTTCATCTGCTTTTACAATTACATGTTGTTGCCTTTTAAAAAACTAAACAAAGTGAACTAAGAAGTCTTTGATTAAAGGAATAATGTACTCACAGTAGTTTCCAAATAAATGGTGTCACTCTTCCGGCAAATCACTCCAAGGCTTGGGCCTAGTACAGATGTTCATTGGGGCAGGGAGCAGAGAGCGGCTGCATCTATAGCAGGGAAGAAATAAACAAAAGGAAGGCTGTTAGATGACAAGGTGTTGGTGAGCATTCATTCGAAGACAGAACTTTAGGTCCCCATCATTGCACCCAAGAGTGGCAAGTCAGGGAAGGGAGAATGGCCCCGTTCTCACTGAGTATACCTGATCCTGTGAGGTCTGAGATCAACAGTGAACACCCACTCAGTGCAGATGGAGTTGATTTTGTTTCTGAGTTAGAAACCGAAATAAAGGATGGGGGTTGGGGAGACAGGGCAGTGCCCTTCAACCTTGCCACGGCTGGTTCTTCCAGTGTTCTTGATTCTACAGTAGTCTCTCCCTCAGTATTGCTCAGTTCTTACCCATCCTATGAACACCCATTGACCTAGCCACATTTGTAAGGTCCATTTTCTTTTCTGCCCTTTGCTACAAGTTTCTTATTTCTTCCCATTTTGTCTAACCAGAAGGAGTTCAGCTTTCAGGATTACAGAATGGACTTCTGCTGTCTAAAGGTCCCAAACCCAGAGGGCTTTTCCAAAGTCTTGTCTCTTTGGTCACACTAGGCCCCAAGACCACTTGATTCCCAAACTATCTTCCCTTTTTCATCACGACACTAAAATATCCTGACTTTCCTCCTACCTCTAAATTCTCTCATCTTCTCCCTCCTGTGGAGCTAAGTGGAGCTAAGTAGCTAAGTGGAACTACTCCTCAAGGTTCTCTCCTTAGGCCTTGCTTACGCCCACCCTCCATGACCTCAGGAGCGTTTCTCCACAGAGAACACCCACATTGCTGTATTTGGTTCTTACTTGTCTACGAGCTCCAGACCCACGTTCTAAATAACTGCTGGTTATTGGATCCTTAATTCATTTGTTTCCTTGTTCATTAATTTAGAGTTTATATGAAGTACTTATTAAGCAATGGAAAAGAAGTGAAGATGGGGTCTTTAACTTTGAGAAACTAACATCTCCATAAAACTTTGCACAGACACTTCTAATTCAGAAAGTTTAAAACAGAATCCATTGCCTTTTCTTCAAATATGCTCACTCTCCAGCCTTCATATTTTCTGCCACTGGAACCATCTTTATCCAGTTCGTTGGGCCTACAATTGAGAAGCCATCTTTAATTCCTCCTTTTATTTTGCTTCCTCTATCCGATCAACTGGCAATTCTTGTGGGTTTTACTTAGGCTGTGTGCTATTGACTTGTAAGATTTTTATTTTTTTGCATAGAAGAACTGGGTTGTAGGCCGGAGGTGTGAAGGTTGGGGTTGGGGAGAGGATTCACCAGAGACAGAGTGGGGAGTAGTATAGGCAAATCTATTGAAATACACTGCTGAGGGGAGCAGTGGGCGGGATATAATGCTGAGACACGTGACCAAAATACCTTTCTCATATATATATTTGGTCGTTGTCTAGGATTCCTGGTTCAAGGTACACAAAGCTGTTAAATTTCCTACCTGTTGAGAGTGATTAAGGTGTCTTTTGTTATGTTAATGGTGTGACTTTTGGAAGCAGCTATGATGGGGGATTGGTTGTCAGGATAAACAAATATGTGAATAGAGTGTTGAAACTTTCAGGCTTACCCATGTCAGTGGGGGGCTGGGGAAAGTCTTATGAGGTTGAGCCTTTAACCTGTGGGATTTGACACTACTCCAGGTAGATAGGGCCAGAATCAAGTTGAATGATGCCTGGAGAATTGCTTGGTGGTTTGGGGGAACCACATTCCACACAAGTGGAAAATGTGTCCCTGAAAAGCCATTTAGGCTGTATTTCCTGAATCAATGTCTGCTTTCTGTTGCAACACTATTTCATCCTTTATCACCTGCTACTGGATTTCTATGAGAAGTCCCTGACTTTATTTCCTCTAGATACTCTTTACTCATAACCCATCCTCCACACAAACCTTACACTAATTTTTCTGAAGTACCATTTAAAATATATCATTCCTTTGTTCTTTGCTTACCAGGTTCAATTCAAACTTTTCAGCCTGGCATTCCAGGCTCCTGAAAAATATCCCCAATCTAATTTCCTACTCTTATCTCTATAGTGAGTGCATTCTATACTCAGCAAAGTCCTGGTCATTCCCACCAAATTCATGGTGTTTCCTCCCTTTCCCCAAAGTCTGCATATAGCTTCTTGAAGGGTCATCTAAATGTCACCTAATTTATGAAGCATTTTCAAAAGAAAAGCACACTTCTTGGAACCTTAAGCACTTTTTCCACTACTGTATTTCACATTCTATGGACTCTAATAATTACTCATATAATTTCTTTTCTTTCTCTGTAGGTTTCTGGAAGGCAGAGAACTTTACTTTGTGTACCCTACAGTATGCAATACCTTACATACAAGTTTGCGCTCAGCTGATTTCTGCTGAACTGAATTTAAGAGGAATAAACATTTGTGCTTAGAGTCATGGAAATTGAAACTGAATTGAAAAAAATCTTAAAGCTGTCCTACTTCAACCTGCTAATTTTTCAGATGAGGCAGTGAAGGAAACTGACTTGTTCAAAGTCACATATGTAATAGTGGTTGAGCCACAATAAATAAAAGGTCACAAATCTCTAAGTATCTATCAACAATTGCTTGGCACCAAAAGGCCCAGTAGACAATCAATAGTGACCAGAGAGAATGAGGGGCTGGGGTACACAGCCTGCAAGGATATGCTGGATTCCGAAAAATAAAGAACTTTTTGTTCTACATATTTGCTTCAACAATCTGAACTAATATCTATTTATAGTAAATTTTTAAACATGAGGGTAGATTTAAAGAACAAGGATGCAAACCTTTCTACAGTACCAGCAGTAACAATTAGGACAATATTACAAATACCTCTGGGATGAAAAATTCAGGGTGAAAACCACAAAGAAGACAGTGGGTTCAGTTGAAGTTCCTGATGAGAATACACCGCAGTAATCCCATGGTTGAATTTGTGACTATAGAAAAATAGACTCGGCGGGCTTGCTTGCTAAGATGCCATCATCACCTTTTTACCTAGTTTTGCCCAGGATTGACTCTCTAAACTTGTTTAAATTTTTGCTTATTTTTCTTTCATAATATCACTAATTTATTTGCCAAAATGCTTAGATGACTGCTCCCAAGTCTTCTAGTTTTCTTCCCTTGTTTAATCCCCTTTCTACTCTCATCCTCAAACAGTGATTTTCTCTCACTCAGAGATGAAAAGCCCAACAACATAGCAGTGTCCCCTACGTGAGGGAAACAGACTTTCCCAGAGGATCTCAATATTGGCCAGAAAGGGTAGCTTGCAAGGCTAAAGGATTTCATTGCCCTTTCCAGGTGGGCACTTACATGTTGGTACTCAACAGAGGAAATACTCGCTACTATGAATTATATATTTTTTGGTCAGTATGGTAGAACCACTCTATACATCAAGACATCTATTAAACAGCAACACACCAGCAGCCACATCAATAGCATCTGTGCTCAAGCGCTCTCCCTAGTCCTTGCTAAATCATCTTATGTCTGGACAGGCTATCAACACTTCCCCAGACAGAGCTTCCTTCTCCACCTCCTCCCCCCCACCAAACTACATTAAAATGATAAAGGAATCATTAATCAATATGTCTAGTACATTACAGTTGAAAGTCACCTGGACACATACAAATGCATTGTGTGATTAGGCAAGTGTACATTTAAAATGTGCTTAACATCACATTTAAATTGTGCATTTTATAATGAAATGGAGACATAATCTTTCTGTCCTTCCACCAAACTCTTCTTTCTAGCCCCACATCTTTTTTTTTTTTTTTTTTTCAAGATTTATTTATTTATTTATTTATACAAGCACTGGGTACAGTCAGAAGCATGGGAGGGTGAGAGAATTCACCAGAGACAGAGCGGGGAAGAGAACAGACAGACGGACGAAATACACTGCTGAGGGGAGCAGCAGGCGCTGCAGGAGAGGTCTGTGTGCCATGTAGGTCCCTCGCCTGGTGGCCGGGGATCGAACTGGTGCTGCAGAGGCTGTGGGCAGCCTCGCAGCGCAGCGCTCAACCGCTGCGCCACCGGGGGAGGCCCCTGTAGCCCCACATCTTGTTGCTAAGATCTTCTTTTGGATTTTTGGCTAATTGTCACTTTTGGCAAATTTTCCCTCTTGCCGTCTCTTATTTGAGGGTCTATAGAGCAAAATGTCAACAAGGTATGTCATGTTTCATTACTAAAAAGGTGGTTATGCTTCACAAAAGATTCAGTGAAAATAACTTCCTGAGGTTTCATATTTATTCTCTTTCAGTGCCTTCTGTATCCAACATACTTTGTTTTTAAGTCAAAGATAACTTTGAGAGGCTGACTGCTGGGGTCACACATTCCTCTCAGATTCTGGAAATCCAGCAGTTCTCTCTGCCTCTTACATCATCACTGTAATAAAGAACCTACTTTTGGAACCCAGCTGGCAAGATTTTTGGTGGCGTCAGAGGCTTTGGAGACGGTGGGTCATTTCCATTTCAGCATATTTTATTGTTGCCGTCTCTGCAGCTCTGTCTTGGAAGCCCTTAGAGAGCAGAGCTGTTATGTAACGCACTGCCACATATCCACTATACGGCACTTTCTGGGGAGGCCTCAGTTCAGTGTGGACCTTCCCATTCCTTGCAAATCATACCAGATCATTCTAAAACAACAGAGGAGATTCTTCGAGACTAAAGTTTAAAAAAATAATAGCTACCATTTATTAGATGTTGAAGTTTTGCCAAGAACTGCACCAGGCACTTTTATATATAATACACTCTCATTTAATCCTTACAGCAACACTGTGCTCTAAGTGTTAGCAGAACTATTTTACAGATGAGCAAAAGTGAGAGCCAGAGAACTCAAGTAACCACTCCAAGTTTAGGAAGCTGTGGACAGAGATGCAAGAATTCAAACTCAGATCTCTGACTTCAAATCTGTGCTTTTTTTCACTATAAAACAACTGTTCCAATACAGCATGGGCACATTTCTAGTTCACTATGTGTTCCATTCCAAGAAAGAGACTGAGATCTAGGATGGTTCAGATCTGGAAG